CCGAGAGGCGGTTCCGGCGCGGCGCCCGCCCGCTGCGCGAGCGCCTTTTGCACCTTTTGCGCGTTCGACGCGGCCATGCGCTCCGACTCGCGGACGAGCGTCGCCGTGTCCTCAAAGTAGAAAAAGTTGAGGGACGCGAGTTCGTGCCACTTGGGCGAGCGCAGGTCGTTCTCCGGCACGCCGAGCTCGTTGCCCTCCTCGTCCTTGGCGTTGAAGAAGGAGAGGAGCTGGCGCAGCCAGCCGTAGACAATGTCGACCTCGAAGCGGCTGAGCGGCCGCTGCTCGGAGGGCTTGTCGGAGAGCGGCGGGACCAGGAGCGCCTCGACCGCCAGGAGGACTTCCTTCCACAGCCGCAGCATGACCGAGCGCATCGTGTCGTTTGTCAGCGTCTGGTTCATAATGGTGAAGTTGGCGTGGAAGTAATCCATCAGAGGATCAAGCGACTCGTCAATGACCGCCTTGGACGGCACTGTCGGCATGACGGATGTCCTCTTCTTCCACAGGCTTGTGACTTGAGCACCAATCCCTGCGCCGCCCAGCAGACGCCGCAAGGTCTCATGCGAGAGGCTTGTGTTGATCTGGTCCCGAAGCTACGTGCAGTGTCAGCAGGGCAGGGGTTCACCCAGTCGGAGAACACCAAACTCACCTTTTCAGTGATCTTGCGGACCATGATCTGTTCTGTGCGCTTGAGGTCCCTGAACGCCTTGCCAAACTGAAACTCAATGTCGTCGCGCTCTCCTTCCATGCTAATCTTGACCAGTATCCTGCCCTGGGTGTCGAGATCGAGCCAGATCTCGCGGGGAATGTAGTCGCTGAAGTGAACGGGGTCCAACTTAAATGACGTCCGTCCCACAAAGTCGTGATCCCCAAACATGTCATCGTCCCAGACCGTGGCAATAATGGTGATGGGCGCGGTGACGGTAATGTCCCTGGACTCGTCCCACCGAGGATTCAGGCTCTTTCGAACGACCCTAGTCTTGTGGAGGCGCTTCTGGCGCTCGTCCACCAGGACCACATAGGGGTCGCTGAAGCCGTTTGGATCGCAGGCCTTGAGATCCTCGGCCTCGACAATCTTCACCGTAAAGTTGTATTTGTTTGGCCGACGAGTCTGCTGCTTCGGCCCGTCAATAACACGGACGATTTCTGCGCATCGGTCCACGTTCATCGTATGTTCCAATTTGTCGAGTTTTTGTTTCGCAAACTCGATATTATTGAGCATGACGAACGCCTGGAGACATGTTAGCAGGTGCGGCTGCCCTAGGCGCACGCTATGCCGTCTTACCTTTGAACTGAAGTTGTAGGGCTCCGGCTTCTCCTTGTTGTTCCATGCTTCCTTGGCGTATTGCATGAATCTTTCCTGCGTCGTCCTCGACGCCATGGCTTCCTCCTGCGGTGTCAGTCGCTCCATGTCGGCCGCGAATATCCGTCCGACCTCCTCGCAGTACTTCTCGATGCCGGTGGCGAATATGTGCGCAAGCGCCGTCATGAAGCGAGCGTGGTGCTCTTCGTTTCTCCATTCGAGCTGATCGATCTGTGTCACCGGCGCCGAAAAGAACTGGAACAAATCGGCTATGCTAGCGCTGTGTCGCTCTGCGTCAGAAGGCAGACGCTCGCCGTCGTCGCCTAGAGCCCGGAAGTCGTCCAGTTTAATGGCATTGATGACACCGGCCTCCATTCTAGATTCTGCTTCGCGGATCCACCTCCAGACGAACTCCTGCAGGAGCCCTTCAATGTCGAAGTGGAACTCAACACCGGGGAGGTACTTGTAGTGGCTTTCACGCAGTTTGATCAGCTCCCTGTAGAGATCGAACCCATCGTCAATGTCGAGCTCGCAGCCAGCCGCTTGAGCAGTTTGGATGGCCTTGCCGATAATGTGCTCGGCATCCTGCTCGAATATCGGAAGCATTGTCTGGACCAGGATAGGCAGCGGCGTCACGCCCTTGATCTCGGACATGCTTCGGTAGCGCTTCTGCATCTTGGCCACGCGCTGGACGACCAACTTGCCCATTTCGATCACATGGGAGAACTGCCACGATTCAGCATCTTCAGGAAGCTTGGTCTGCACGATCTCATGATACAGGTCCCGGGCTGACTGGCGGAGAGCCTCAGTCACTTGCTTGGAGAAATCGCTGAGTTGATCTTGCTTAGGAGCAAAGGCAGGGTCCTCCTCAATGTGGTCCTCCAGAATCTTCATGATCGATGCAATGAATTGGGAGGGCTCGAA